ACAGACACCCATAGCAGAGTAGACCCCAAGCTGCACACTCTGGTTTTCATGTACTCTTGGTTGCAATGGTTATGTGTTGCTATGGTTATGTGTTGCTATGGTTATGTGTTGCTATGGTTATGTGCTGCTACGGTTATGTGTTGCTATGGTTATGTGTTGGTATGGTTATGTGTTGGTATGGTTATGTGTTGCTATGGTTATGTGTTGGTATGGTTATGTGTTGCTATGGTTGTGCGAATGGTCAGTGACTACAATCTACTCTACATGCTGGTGCTATGAGTGCTGGTAGTCGAATTCTCGTAGACTGTCACAAGTGTCAAGGAGGGGGGAGGGGAGGGGGCGGGGGTTCAAGTTGTGTAGAGTAGAACCCGGGTTAAGGGTCACACCGGATTAGGGATCGGAGCCCGGGGAGGGGGGGGGGTCACTTGGCATGTACATTGTGCGGGTGATCCTTATACCGGGATTTAATTTCCGGCCCAAGGGGGTCCCCCGTCGGTTTCCGACGAAGCCGTAATTTTTTTCGCTCCAAACTATTTTTCCGGGGTCCATCTACTCACAAAAGTCGTTTTGCACACCTTTTTGCCCATCCCTGTACAACTGAGTCCAGCTATGTCAGCGCAGAGTTAGGTGGATCCCTAACCCGGGTTCTACTCTACATCCTTTTATGGTCCATGACACACGGCGCTTTTACTTGATTACGCCCTGGCAAAAATAACCTTGTTTCGGGTCGGCCGACTCGGTCATTTTCCCCCAATTTCTGAAACCTTTTTGTATGTACACAATAGGTGCCTGGGAGCCTGTACACAGTCCCTTTCCCAAAGATGCCGTGATTTTTCGCAACTCATGCTTTTTACAACCGTACCAACACAAGTGCAAATTGCTGAAATCGCATCCACATTTTCATGAAAATCTCTAACGTTGCTAACAACGCAACTTAAAGTGAGACTTCTTGTACATGTAATGACAAATGAGCTCGTATGCTTTTGTCTGACATGTAGTCTGTGACTTGACCTTTTGACCCCCCCATGCCATGGGCCTATGGGGCCAAGGCTGTGGAAAGGTTGCGAGTAGTACGCGGCAATGAAGAAAGTTGCGAAAGTTGAGATTTCTTCCAAAACAACCAAAAGTGGCAAAAAAGTGGCAAAAAAGTGGTGAGCATTTTTGGGAAAGGGCTGCCGGTACGTCTGGTAGGTAGCTGGTGAACTCATTCACTTGCATACATGCATGCATACGTGTATGTGCAGTCGTACACCATGTTTATATCTACTAGTATGCTAGACACGTATGCTGTCATGAGAACGTAGTCTGTACGTAGTCTGTACGTAGTCTGTACGTAGTCTGTACGTAGTCTGTAGGTAGTCTGTAGGTAGTCTGTACGTAGTCTGTACGTAGTCTGCACGTAGTCTGTACGTAGTCTGTACGTGGTCTGAACGTGGTCTGAACGTGGTCTGTACGTGGTCTGTACGTGGTCTGTACGTGGTCTGTACGTGGTCTGTACGTGGTCTGAACGTGGTCTGTACGTGGTCAGTACAGACCACGTAGTCTGCACGTGGTCTGTACGTGGTCTGTGCGTAGTCTGTGCGTAGTCTGTACGTAGTCTGTATGTGGTCTGTACGTAGTCTGTGCGTAGTCTGTGCGTAGTCTGTACGTAGTCTGTACGTAGTCTGTACGTAGTCTGTACGTAGTCTGTACGTGGTCTGTACGTAGTCTGTACATGGTCTGTACGTGGTCTGTACGTAGTCTGTACGTAGTCTGTACGTAGTCTGTACGTAGTCTGTACGTAGTCTGTACGTAGTCTGTACGTAGTCTGTACGTAGTCTGTACGTAGTCTGTACGTAGCCTGTATTTGGTCTGTACGTAGTCTGTACGTAGTCTGTACGTAGTCTGTACGTGGTCTGTACGTAGTCTGTGCGTAGTCTGTACGTGGTCTGTACGTAGTCTGTACGTAGTCTGTACGTAGTCTGTACGTAGTCTGTACGTAGTCTGTACGTAGTCTGTACGTAGTCTGTACGTAGTCTGTACGTAGTCTGTACGTAGTCTGTACGTAGTCTGTACGTAGTCTGTACGTAGTCTGTACGTAGTCTGTACGTAGTCTGTACGTAGTCTGTACGTAGTCTGTACGTAGTCTGTACGTAGTCTGTACGTAGTCTGTACGTAGTCTGTACGTAGTCTGTACGTAGTCTGTACGTAGTCTGTACGTAGTCTCTACGTAGTCTGTACGTATACAGTCATGCTGGGACATCGCAATATTGATCCATACCATGTCGCTGCTGTATGTGCATATTCTACATTTACACGTAACAATCATGTACATCTAGAAACTGTATGCTGATCTGCTTGTGTCCATCACAATAATTATGATATTCTACCTGTATGTAAGCATTAGGATCATTCAGGGATGTCCTCTGGCTATGCTAATGTATGCCATTGGTCTGCACCCTCTGATTGAGAGTTTGAAGGAACCCAGCCAGCACCCCCAAAACTGGTACGCTGATGATTCTTCTTGTGCGGGACGGTTGCGCAACATCAGGAAGTGGCTCGACCGCCTTATCGATCAGGGTGAAGCTTTCGGCTACCAAGTTGAGCCGACAAAGAGTATCATTACTGTTTCCCCAGATCTCGTTCAGCAAGCTAATGATATCTTTGGGGATCTGAACATCCAAGTAGCCACATCTGCCCGTTTCCTAGGAGGCTGTATCGGTGAACCTGACAGAGTGAAATCGTTTGTCAAGGAGAGAGTGGAGACGTGGGTGAGCAGTGTCAATTGCCTTGCCGCTGCTGCCAGGAAATACCCCCAGTCGGCGTATTGTGCGTTGAATCGCTCGCTCTCATGTGAGTGGTCATACCTGCAGCGTGTTGTCCAGGGTCTTGAAGAGGAGTTTGCTCCGCTTCGAGACGTCATCCTGGAGCAATTTGCCCCAGCCATCCTTGGGCGGGAGGTTCTTCCTCGGGAACACCAGCTCCTCACCCTGCCAGTCAAGTATGGTGGCTTGGCTTTGGCCGATCCTGTCCACACAGCACCCCAGGCTTACCAGAATTCGAGAAACGCAACTGACATCCTGCGCAACTCCATCCAATCTGGTAACCCCGTAAATGTAAATGATCACAGCGCTCACTGTCGCCGCATCACAAGCCAAATCAGCAGGGAACGAGATGTGATTTCCGCTGAAATCAGCCAATCAATTCTCAGTGACCTGCCACAGCTTGAGGAGCGCACCCTCTCCCGCATCGTACGGGGAAATGCCTCCGAATCGCTTACGGTGTTGCCCCTGAAGTGCGAGGGGTATGATCTGTCGAGTACAGAATTCCGCGATCAACTTGCCATCCGCTATGGTCGGCAGCCGCTTGCCCTGCCAGCGCAATGTGATGGTTGCGGGAAGCCCTTCTCTCTCTCCAGCATGGCCTTGACTGCCCGAAAGGTGGACTTATCAAGCGAGGCCACAATGATCTGCGTGATAGCGATGCAAAGCTAGCTGATATGGCATTCGGTGGTGTTGTCGTCGAGCCGATCATGGTGCCGGAGGGTGATCGGATGGAGCAGCCTGCTCTTCGGGCAGATTGGCTTGCGTGTGGGAGGATAACAGGGTGGCGTTTTTTGATAATCGCATCATTGATGCCAACGCACCCAGTTACTCCCATTCATCCTGGGAAGCTACTTCCAACCGCGCTGCTAACGCGAAGAAAAAGAAGTACCGTCAGGCCTCCGAGGACCTCCGTGGGTCGTTCACACCACTGGTTTGTTCCACGGATGGGGTGCTACATCGCGAATACGCCAGCTATCAGAAGCGACTTGCTGGTCGCCTCGCCCTCAAGTGGGACAAGCCATTTTCAATCATCATGGCTTGGGTGCGAGTTCGCTAGGCCTTGACAGATTATGCTAGCATAATTTTTCGCATAATTCCTACCAAAATCGAATAATCGCATAATTCGAGGCAAATTGCATACGAATCGCATAAAATTGGAATAATCCGCCTGTTCGCATCAAATTCCATACAGTTGTACATGTTCTACAAGTACAAGTACAAGTAAATGCACCAGGAGGCCGTAAGCTTCCGACTCCCTTGAGAACATGTCCAGTCCACTACAATCAGTGACGGTCGTAGCTAGGTTGGACGATGCGTTGACCCCATTGAACTTTTGCTACTACAGTACAACGCCCTCTACAAAAAAATTCCCCTGTTATTTTGCACAGAACCATTATACATTAGCAGCATATGTGAGCATAATGCGGCATAATATGATAACTTTTAGCATAAAAATAGAATAATTCTGCAATTTTTTCAGCAATGCGAAAAGCATATTTTCACGAAAATATTAGCATAATCTGTCAAGGTCTAGAGTTCACAGCCAATTTGCAGTGATCCATGCAGTCGACCTCCGGCTACGTGGGTCTAGAAGGCGCCTGACGACGCAGGACGGTGCTGGGGTAGGCACCGGCCATTGAAAACTGAATTTCGTCTGTTTTACGTGGAATTTCTTGGAGTTTCCCAATGTATTGTACTTGAATAAAATTCTTTTTTACCTTTCATGGTATCTCAATTTTTTCACATCTACATGACTTTATTTTGCCCGTAAAAGAGGCCGTTACCCCGTTAAAAAATAAAAAAATAAAAAAATTAGGATCATTCATAATAAAAAACACAAATTGTCCGAAACGGTTCTTTCCCTGCCGACCGAGTTTGCTTTTTGGGGGTTGTAGACCCAAAGCAAGCTTATTTATGGTTTTGGACTTAGTTTAAATCTGGCTTTGGAAAATTTATTTTTCATAGCTCTCAGGTTCGGCCTCATTTTCTCTGTGCTGCGCTGATGAGTCCACAAAGGACGAAACAGTTCAGTCCGCAGATTGAGTTGTTTTCGACTTAGATAATCGAGCATGAAAACAAAGGCACAAAGAACAGCTTAGAAAGCCTGCTTACTGATGCGCTAAAGAAATAACCGATGTACACTACGAAATTGTCCGTGTGTAGAATTTGTTGAATACAGGGTAAATGTTACGTTACCTGAAGTCTTTCCGCCGTCTGCCATCATTCCACAGGTAGCTGCAATGTCGGCATGAGAATATCCAAAATCTCCGAGCAGCTTCCTCCAATCGATTGATAGGAATGGTACATGCAGAGCACAGAGCTCAAAGCCTTCACGAAAGTTGTGATTTGGAAAGGTATAGAACGGGATGTAGCATGATGGCCGAGTTCTTGAGGAACGAAAACAGGTACTTTGAAGTACTACCCAAGTTGCTGGACGAAGAAATCACAATACAGAACTGACGGCTTGGAAAGAGTACTGTCGAAGAAATGATCTCAAACCATTCGCACAGTCGAGTTTTGTTCTTCAAATTTTAGCACTGAAAATAATCACTGGGCACAATACTTCACAGGACTCAGGAGTCACATGAGATGCTAACAGTAACATGAACTAAATCTACTGTGACATGTACAGTGTTGTACTCTATAGAAATATTGTACATCCTATAAACTGAGTCTCACGTTTTGCCGTGTGAACAGTGCAGCACTCGTGCGTCATTCACCCAGGCCAGAGCATCGAAAGCCCAAATCATCCGCTGCTAATTTACGAGCTGTGCAACAAAACATTCCTACCTGTCACCATGGTCACTGAGCGAGCAAGAAATCGCAGTCACCGGTTACAATCACCATGGTCACAGGCTACAGTAGACTAGAAATAGAATGTAGACTACAATACGTGGACTACAATACGTAGAGTGTATTCTATGAGCTGCTCAGCAGAACACTATGTCTATGATACACTCCACAATCACAACACGTAGAAATATCTACACTTATCAACTCCCTTAGTATTGACTCACATAGATTTTTGCCATACCTAAGCAGTCAAATATTCCTGCATATTTCACTCCTCAGGGCTATATTGACCGCTTATATTTGACTCCTTTTTAGCGATTGAACACATGTTTTGGTCGGTCGTGATAAATCTAATATTGACCTTGCACTTGGTCAGTATAGGAAGTAAAAGACCTCGTAAAAGACCTCGGCTTCGCCTCAGTCTTTTACTCGGCTTTTACCTCCTACTCAGTCAATATTAGATACGTACATAACACTTTGATGCAGTTCACATCGACCTATAGTCAGATAGTCCAGATCTACACTAACATTCAATCATTGTAGTACGTACAGTAGTATGTAAGGGCAGTAAGGGCCCTAACATCTATTGATGTCTTGTAGGTGCACATGAACACTTTGCTGCAGTCTACTACAGTCTACTACAGTCTACTACAGGCACTGTACTCACGTGATCACAAGAGATGAGCTGCTCACACAAAACACAACACCCACGTACCCGGTGACCGTCACTCCTCTGCAGATTCTATCGTTCTGTTCAAAAAATGTCTGCAACTCAAAGTCTGCGAGTCCGCAGGGCGTTCCCAGCCTTGCCCCAGCCTTGTGTAGCCTTGTGTCCTGCTGTCAACACTGGGCTGGCTCTCAAAGTACAAAAAATAGTTGTTCTTTTCATGTTGGGATTTCGAGTTTCACGCTAAAGCGATCATCGCCCAACAACCCTAGATGTTTAAATTATCAACCCTAGATGTGAAATGCTTCAGTCACACGTTAGGCTCTGGATGGTTGACTTGGGCCAGAAAGTGTAATTCAGTTACAGTACAGCTAGCCGTGAATTATCTGAAGGAAGAGCTTGGATACCTAAAAAGTTCTGATGATGAAGAAGAAGTGTGTTCAATCGGCTGGGATGCTGCCCGCCTGGAATGCTGGTCTAGTGTCATGCAGCTGATGAGTGATGACCTCCTCTGAAGATAATGTTCTTCACCAAGTTTACCGTGGCATACTGATGCGCATGCAGTGGTAGTTGTACATGATTGTACTGTACTGGACACCTTGATAGAATTTCCGAGTTTTGCCTAAAACCATGCATCTGGGAAGCGACACAAGGCCTAGGCCCTAACCCTAACCCTAACCCAGCATTGGTGCTGCAACTGCATTGTACAGGGTGTACAGGGTGTACAGGGTGTACAGGGTCTATGCAAGCATTGGTGGTGACTGGGATCTGATCCATTCCCGGTGCCAATTTCGGCTTTTGTAAACCGTCCCTTACTCCAAATGTTGGATTCAGCGAGAAAAGTCTGAAATTGGATAAATTACGGATAAAATTGTTTATCCCACTTGCAGCTATGCACAGTGCAGTGAAGGTACAAGAAAATCAAAGATGGATGGTCGCCTCAGCATCCGCCGAGAAAAGAAAAAAATGTGAGAAAAATATACCCAGCACAGCAAACCATGATGGAGCGATGGTGCCCTAAGGTTGGGGCGCTATAAGGTTGGTGCCATATAGGGTTGGGGCCATATAGGGTTGGGGTCTTAAAAGGTTGGTGCCATATAGGGTTAGTGCTCTATCTATGTAGGGTAAGTAATTAATGTTAGTGCTCTCTAATGCTATTGTTTGTAACTTGGAAGTAACAATTGGAAGACATTGAAGCGCGCGCTGAAGTACATACTAAAATGTACAGTACAACACAGTGAGCCGTAACTACATGATATTCTACATACATACACAAGTAACATACTGTAACTACACTGCTACACTGCTACGAGACTACTACTACTCAAATACATACAACACATTAGAAATGACGTGACAACACATACATGTACATGTATGTTCGTACTGAGAAAAATGATCAGACGCGGGTTGCTAAAACTATAACGGATTTCGGGAAGAAGAACATAGCTGCTATATTGCTACGGCTAGCACACACGCGATCTAAATGCATTTTCAGACTAAGAATACCACTGAGAATGAAACTAGTAATGCCACTGGCAAAGACATTGACAAAGAGACTAGCAATGCCATTGGCAACGGAACTAGCAATGTCACTGCCAACTGACACTGTGTGCACGTGGGGGGGGGGGGGGGGGGGGTGACAGGGACATACCATGATCAGGGTGTATCAGGGTGTATCAGGATCAGGGGTATTAGAATCGAGGGAGAGGGTGTCAGCATGACAGGGTTATCCGGTATTAGCACCAGAAGAGGGGGGGGGGGGGTTATAGTCAGAGAGAGAGAGAGAGAGAGAGAGAGAGAGAGAGAGAGAGAGAGAGAGAGAGAGAGAGAGAGAGAGAGAGAGAGAGAGAGAGAGAGAGAGAGAGAGAGAGAGAGAGAGAGAGAGAGAGAGAGAGAGAGAGAGAGAGAGAGAGAGAGAGAGAGAGAGAGAGAGAGAGAGAGAGAGAGAGAGAGAGAGAGAGAGAGAGAGAGAGAGAGAGAGAGAGAGAGAGAGAGAGAGAGAGAGAGAGAGAGAGAGAGAGAGAGAGAGAGAGGGTGTGTGTGTGCGGTGGTGGTGGTGGTGGTGGTGGTGGTGGTGGTGGTGGTGGGGGTGTTAGAGTCACGGAGAGGGGGGGTGTTAGACTCATGTGGCATTAGAACCAGGGTATTAGAATAACGTCAGTACCGGAACTCAATTCAAGGAATGAAAATCCAAATAGGGACACAATCATAAAGAACTCTTGAACTCAGCTTGTAGTGTCCAGGTGGTGTACAGGTACTAATAGTCTCCTGCACTAGCCTGTACTCAAAGTTAAAATGTTCAGCCATTCAGCTATCAGGTCAAGTTCAAAGGGAAACTCCTCTACCTGTCATGTCCACAGTTGTGACAAGAACACATACAACACAAATCAGGAACAGTTGGGGCATTCATGGTCTTGTCCCGGTCTGGTCATTTTCTTGTCACGCGTATTGTCACATAGAGGCACGGGTTTCTGGTTTGTTAGATCCACCAGTCCAGCCCGTCGTCCTCCTCCTCCTCCTCGCCGGCGGCGGTGGCAGTAGCTGTGTTGTTGGTCAGCAGGCTGATTGCCTGGTTCAATACACGACGACTGCATGTGAATCTTGGTGTTCTCATCTTGCTTAGGAGCACAGCCCGTCGCGCAAGTATCCACAATCTCCGCAGTCTCGGCCATCTCCGTAATTTCCGCAGTCTCAGCCATCTTGGCAGACTCTGCGGGGATCTCTGAATATGTAGCTAGCAGGTTTGCTGCGCCAGGCTGATGGATCATTCTACTAAAACTAGTATCACTATGATCAAAGTGCTGAGAACAAGTAGATTGTGCATGCTCAGGTTCTGTATACAAGTGGAGAAAGCCAATGGCAGCAACTGGCTTCTTGAGAACGGCAAGATCTGGTTTTCTGTCACTGAATGTAACCTCCAAATCACGTACAACGCCGTGCCTGCTGCTTTCTCTGCTGCTATCTCTGCCACTTTCTCCGCTGCTGTCTCTGCTGCTTTCTCTGCTGCTGTCTCTGCTGCTTTCTCTGCCGCTTTCTCTGCTGCTTTGTCCGGGTGTTGCAGCAGGCGGAGTGGAACGCGTGGTAGGAGTGGTTGGTATGGAATGTTGGTGAATGTTAGCAGCTCGCTTGGTCGGAGTGGTCAGTGTGGAATGTTGGTCAATGTTAGCAGCTCGCTTGGTAGGAGTGGTTGGTGTGGATAGAGTGGTCACAGTGTAACGTCGGTCAATGCAAACACCTCGCATGTTCGGAGTGGACGGTATGGAATGTTGCTCAATGTATGCAGCTCGTGTGAGCGGAGTGGTTAGTCGTTGAATGTTAGCAGCTCGTGTGGGCGGAGTGGTTAGTCGTTGAATGTTAGCAGCTCGTGTGGACGGAGTGGTCGGAGTGGTCGGTGTGGAACGTCGATCAATGTATGTACGTGGCTTGGTCGGAGTGGTCGGTGTGGGTGGAGTGAACGGTATGGAGCGTCGGTCAGTGTATGCAGCTTGCTTGGTCGGAGTGGACGGAGTGGTTGATGTGGAACATCGGTGAATGTTAGTAGCTCGCATGGATGGAGTAGATGGCGTGGATCGTTTGTCAATGCGAGTAGCTGGCGAGTCTGGAGTAAGCGGCATGTTCATTCTGCATCTCTTGTTAGTTGGCGATGCCGCATCATTGTCCACTCTCATCTGGCGTTTTCCACTGTGTGCAAGAGATGTGGAGTGCGGACGAAAGTTCTCATCTACACCACAATGACTTATATAGCAGCGCTGGGGTGATGAGGATAGCAGCTCTACACCTGATGTACCTGTTGTAGCTACTGTTGATGTAGCTCCTGTTGCTGGTAACCACGGCAACACCGGCAATAACGATGGTGGACCCAGTAATGGTGATGGTGACGATGGTGGTGATGGTGGTGGTGATAACGATAATGGCGATGTTGATACACTTGTGGCTGGACTGGCTGGACTGACCGTGGCTGAAGATGATCCGACAGATAGTGCCTGTGCTGCTGCCATTCCTGGTCGTGATGCTGGTCGTGATGCTGGTCGTGATCCTGGTCGTGATGCTGGTCGTGACCCTGGTCGTGATGCTGGTGGTGCTGCTGGTGAAACGGATTTTGCCGCCACGTCTGCTGCCCTTGCTGTCAGGACTGATTGGCTGTCTAGTGATGTGTCTGTTGGTGCGGCTGGTGCTGTTGTTAATTTAAACGAACAGGAGCCGGTAGACAAATCGGCTTGCCCCTCAGATGTACTGGGGCATGCACTGCCATTACAAGCTGATGTAGTACTCATCAATAGTTGTTGCTCTTGCAAGTACCTTTCTTGTTCATGCTTCAGCGGCTGCTGTTGCTGCTGCTGCTGTTGCTGCCGCTGTTGCTGCTTCTGCTTAATGTGGTGTTGGTGTTGGTGGAGCAGGGGCGGATGATGTTGTTCGTGTTTGTCATTCCGTTGCAGCTGTGGGTTACAAACTACACAGACGGTGGAAAGCTGCTCAGCTGAAACCTTTGATCGAGTCAAGGTTGTCTCAATGGGCAGGAATTGCTTGAGCTCTGGTGATGAAGGCCGTGATTTGATGCGACCGCATACAACACCAGCCTGCTGCTGCTGCATTCTCATGTCACAATGGTACTGCTGCTGCTGCTGCTGCTGCTGCTGCTGCATTCTCATGTCACAATGGCACTGCTGCTGCTGCTGGTTGTCGTGTTGATGGTAGTGTGCCATTTCCCTAGAGTCAGCCATAGCAGAGTCAGCCATAGTAGAGTCAGCCATAGACATAATAGACATAACGTTGCACGCTGTTGGACCAGTGCTGACTCTGTGACTTGGATGTGCTGTTGGACCAGTGCTGACTCTGTGACTTGGACGTGCGGTCGGACCAGTGCTGACTCTGTGACTTGGACGTGCGGTCGGACTAGTGCTGACTCTGTGACTTGGACGTGCGGTCGGACCAGTGCTGACTCTGTGACTTGAACGGACATCGGCGTAGTCACCACCTCTCCCACCACTGATGTCACCACGGCTAGCACCACCTCTGTCATCAATGGTGTTGATGCTGGCATTGCAAGTGATGCTGCTCGCTCCACAGTAAGTAGGAGTGCTAAGACCTCCGCTGCGGACCATGGCTGTGCTACAGCCTATCAGTGAATCCTTTGCACATTCCAATGATAGAAGTGATGATGATGATGTCACCACTGGTGTTTCCATAGCAGATGACATCATAGGCAGTGTTAACATAGCCTGTGATGACGTCATAGACAGTGCTACTGGCGCCTTATCTGGTGCAGCCGCTGGCCATGATATTGACATGATTTCTTCTCCTCCTCCTGCTGCTGCGGATGCTGGTGCTGCGGATGCTGCTGCGGATGCTGCGGACGATGCTGCGGATGCTGCTGCTGATGCCACTGCGGATGCTGCTGCTGATGCTGCCGATGATGCTGCGGATGATGCTGCTGCTGGCAATGTCCCGGTTGATTCCAGTTCTCTTGCTGATGCACGTAGTGATTGTGGAGATGGTGCAGGAGGTTGAGGTGATAATGCTGCAGATACTGCCCGCTCTGGTGATAACGCTGCAGATACTGCCCGCTCTGGTGATAACGCTGCAGATACTGCCCGCTTTGGTGATAACGCTGCAGATACTGCCCGCTCTGGTGATAACGCTGCAGATACTGCCCGCTCTGGTGAAAACACTACCTGTGCTGGTGCCTGTGCTGGTGCCTGTGCTGGTGCCTGCGCTGGTGGAGATGCTGGCGGAGATGCTGGCGGAGATGGTGGTGGAGATGTTGTCCTGTTGCCTAGCTCCAGTGATACCACAAGATCATCAATACAGTCACCATCACCACCATCACGATCATCGCAACCAGAGCACATTGATGTTGGAGGTAGACAACTTTCATCACCTTCATCACTACTGCCCGCACCATACCAGTAGGTTGTCAGCTGTATGAACTCAGCCAAACTAATCAACTGCAACAAAAACAAAACACACACAACACAACGCAACACAACACAACGCAACACAACGCAACACAACGCAACGGTAAGAATGTTAGGATATCACTCCAAACTTTTCTTTAGTTATAATTATGTACTTTAGTCGACCACTCAGAGACCGGGGATGGAAAAGAAAGACATGTCTGCAATCTATACTCTGAGCAGGACAGTCTACGCTCTGAGCAGCACAATCTATACTCTGAGCAGCACAAGTTATACTCTGAGCAGCACAGACTATGCTCGGAGCAGCACAGTATATGCTCTGAGCAGCACAGACTGTGCTCTGAGCAGCACAGGCTATACTCTGAGCAGCACAGTCTACGCTCTGAGCAGCAAAATCTACACTCTGAGCAGCACAGTCTACGCTCTGAGCAGCATAATCTATACTCTGAGCAGCACAGTATAATAATGCTCTGAGCAGCACAGTATATGCTCTGAGCAGCACAGACTGCTGCTCTGAGCAGCACAGTATATGCTCTGAACAGCACAGCATATGCTCTGAGCAGCACAGACTATGCTCTGAGCAGCAGTCTACGCTCTGAGCAGCATAATCTATACTCTGAGCAGCACAAGTTATATTCTGAGCAGCACATTCTACACTCTGAGCAGCACAGTATATGCTCTGAGCAGCACAGTATATGCTCTGAGCAGCACAGTATATGCTCTGAGCAGCACAGTATAATAATACTCTGAGCAGCACAGACTATGCTCTGAGCAGCACAGTATAATAATACTCTGAGCAGCACAGTATAATAATACTCTGAGCAGCACAGACTATGCTCTGAGCAGCACAATCTATACTCTGAGCAGCACAGTATAATAATGCTCTGAGCAACACAGACTATGCTCTGAGCAGCACAATCTATACTCTGAGCAACACAGTACAATAATGCTCTGAGCAGCACAGACTATGCTCTGAGCAGAACAATCTACACTCTGAGCAGCACAGTATAATAATACTCTGAGCAGCACAGACTATGCTCTGGGGAGCAAAACCACATGACTGGCAGTACACGTGATGCAGCGCGGCCATAATATGACACACCAAAAAATTTGGAGCAAGTGAGCTACCAATAGCAAACTCCTGCCAAGGACGCACGCTCTCAGGTCTCCAGCTACTAGTGCTGCATTGGGGTCGGGTGCACTACAGGTCTCCAGCTACTAGTGCTGCATTGGGGTCGGGTGCACGCTCTCAGGTCTCCAGCTACTAGTGCTGCATTGGGGTCGGGTGCACGCTCTCAGGTCTCCAGCTACTAGTGCTGCATTGGGATCGGGTGCACGCTCTCAGGTCTCCAGCTACTAGTGCTGCATTGGGGTCGGGTGCACGCTCTCAGGTCTCCAGCTACTAGTGCTGCATTGGGGTCGGGTGCACGCTCTCAGGTCTCCAGCTACTAGTGCTGCATTGGGGTCGGGTGCACGCTCTCAGGTCTCCAGCTACTAGTGCTGCATTGGGGTCGGGTGCACGCTCTCAGGTCTCCAGCTACTAGTGCTGCATTGGGATCGGGTGCACGCTCTCAGGTTTCCAGCTACTAGTGCTGCATTGGGATCGGGTGCACGCTCTCAGGTTTCCAGCTACTAGTGCTGCATTGGGATCGGGTGCACGCTCTCAGGTTTCCAGCTACTAGTGCTGCATTGGGATCGCCGGGTGCACGCTCTCAGGTTTCCAGCTACTAGTGCTGCATTGGGGTCGGGTGCGCTACAGGTCTCCAGCTACTAGTGCTGCATTGGGATCGCCGGGTGCGCTACAGGTCTCCAGCTACTAGTGCTGCATTGGGATCGCCGGGTGTGCTACAGGTTTCCAGCTACTACAGTCCATTCAGAAAAAAATGAACTTCTAGCTTTTGGCCATAAATGGGTCAAACGTTGAGTTTTTTTAGAATTTTTTCTGCAATCCCATATGGAATCCTCTTCCAATTATGTTTCTGAAGTTTTTTTGTCCAAAAAGCAAGCCATAGCAAGAATAGGATTTCGGCCAGGTTTTGCCCCAAAAGCACTGAATTGGGAAAAACCATCAAAATCCAGGCCGTTTGACCCCGCCTGCAACAGTGCATTCTGCGGTTCGAACCCCAGTTCAGGCACCCTTTTTGGACCCTTTTTCAAATTTCAAAGTTCGCAGCACTGCACTGTGTACGATGAAATCACGAAAAATCGCCAAATACGGGAGCTCGCCAGAGCCAGGACCCATCTTTTTATGAATGGACTGTAGTGCTGCATTGGGATCGGGTGCGCTACAGGTCTCCAGCTACTAGTGCTGCATTGGGATCGCCGGGTGCGCTACCTGTCTGCTGAAGATATGAAGATATCCATGGGCATGTCACATGTCTGCTAACGACATTTGTGGGTGTGTTACCTGTCCGCTAACGACATTTGTGGGTGTGTTACCTGTCCGCTAACGATATCAGTGGGTGTGTCACCTGTCTTTGAACGATATTTGTGGGTGTGTTACTCGTGCTGCATTGGGATCGGGTGCGCTACCTGTCTGCTGAAGATATCCATGGGCGTGTCACATGTCTGCTAACGACATTTGTGGGTGTGTTACCTGTCCGCTAACGACATTTGTGGGTGTGTTACCTGTCCGCTAACGATATCAGTGGGTGTGTCACCTGTCTTTGAACGATATTTGTGGGTGTGTTACTCGTCTGCTAACGTTATTTATGGTCTACAGGCAGCAAGAGTATATAACCCTAAGAGCATGCAACTCTGCATATGGGGTCTGGAGCACACCATGACCCTAAGAGCATGCAACTCTGCATATGGGGTCTGGAGCACACCATGACCCTAAGAGCATGCAACTCTGCATATGGGGTCTGGAGCACACCATGATCCTAAGAGTATGCAACTTTATGCAACTCTGCATATGGGGTCTGGAGCACAGTGCTGCCTGCATTACCTAGCCACAAGTGTGAGCCAGTGCGTCACTATAGATCAGCTACGGATTCCTGCTTCCAAATCTGCTTTCCTTGGAGACTTTGGATGGTTTTGTACGCAGTGCGTCACTCACAGGCATTGCCTATACCGTATTGGACACGAAATTGTTGAGGCTAAACCGCAGGAAAACTCAAATCCATGCAGCTGGATGGTCATTTCACTACGTAATTCCGGTAGCACGCCGCACATGACACCCATAGCTCATAGATCAGGAGTTGCACACACCGCGCATGGCACCCATAGCTCATAGATCAGGAGTTGCACACACTAGGGGTTATGTAGTGTTGCAGGTATGTATGTGGGTACCCGGAATACATGTACCTGTCTGAACCCTAGTCACAAGTCACAAGTCCCATGATAATGTTACTGCTTACCGTCCTCTGCGCCACCTGATCATACTCCGCACTTGAATATCTATTGGTAGGACAATATTAAAATAGCATACACACAGACACACACACATACACACACACACACACATACACACACACACACACACACATACACACATGTACATACACATACACACCCACACACATGCATGCACACACCCACACCAGAAAACACACACACACACATCAATAAGTAAACATAAATAATTAATTCACAAACGGATTCTACCAGGAAAGGAGAAGAGTTTGTATTAACCACCTGAGCTATGGGACCAGGCCGAACCTAGACAGCGCTGACAAGTTCTTTCACTCCAAAGGAAGCTCACAACACGTGCCACACATACTGATAGCACTTGGGTGCTTTACCCTCCCCCAGGGGACCAACCACGGCCAGTTTTACCCTCCCCAGGGGACCAACCACGGCCAGTTTTACCCTCCCCCAGGGGACCAACCACGGCCAGTTTTACCCTCCCCCAGGGGACCAGCCACAGCCAGTTTTACCCTCCCCCAGGGGACCAACCACGGCCAGTTTTACCCTCCCCCAGGGTACCAACCACGGCCAGTTTTACCCTCCCCCAGGGGACCAACCACGGCCAGTTTTACCCTCCCCCAGGGGACCAACCACGGCCAGTTTCATGCTATGTTCAGCCTGGTCCAATAGCTAAGACGATTACAGCAACACTCATGACAAGCAAGCTCCCGGGTTCGAGTCCAGGTGGGGTTAGAATTTGTTCTCTTTTTAGGCAGTTCACTTCCCAGTTCACTTCCCCGTTCACTTCCCTGTTCACTTCCCTGACTGATCCTTTGACATTTGAAGTTCTCTCAATCCTTTCCAAGTTTTGTATCACAACAGGAATAAGGTAGCATCTGATTTGCTCATAAGACAGTACACCATGGGTGGAGCGCAACAGATATTTTTTCTTTAGCTTTGCATTCAATGGTGCAGCACTCGTTGGTTACGTCAGCTTATCGTGGCGTGTGATTTATCAATGATGAACTCAGGAGTTAGTATCACTGTGGATGTCGATGACCAGTTTGGCAATCCTGATCCTGATTAGACATAACGACCATTAAGTCAACAAGACAATCTGCCAAGACTTTCTGACAACAAGAGCATGTGACAATCAGAGAATCCAGCGGAAAGCCGCACGATTATGCCTCCGCCGCCTCACTCTCTACACCCATATTAACCACTCTGACCTTCTACACCGCATCAAGTGGCCCACTCTCTTCTCCCGCTTTTAAGTTAAACACACAGTGTTTGCTCATCCCATCCACCACAATTACACCCTGCCTCATAATCCACCACAATTACGCCCTGCCTCATAATCCACCACAATTACGCCCTGCCTCATAATCCACCACAATTACGCCCTGCCTCATAATCCACCACAATTACGCCCTGCCTCATAATCCACCACAATTACGCCCTGCCTCATAATCCACCACAATTACGCCCTGCCTCATAATCCACCACAATTACGCCCTGCCTCATAATCCACCACAATTACGCCCTGCCTCATAATCCACCACAATTACGCCCTGCCTCATAATCCACCACAATTACGCCCTGCCTCATAATCCACCACAATTACGCCCTGCCTCATAATCCACCACAATTACGCCCTGCCTCATAATCCACCACAATTACGCCCTGCCTCATAATCCACCACAATTACGCCCTGCCTCATAATCCACCACAATTACGCCCTGCCTCATAATCCACCACAATTACGCCCTGCCTCATAATCCACCACAATTACGCCCTGCCTCATAATCCACCACAATTACGCCCTGCCTCATAATCCACCACAATTACGCCCTGCCTCATAATCCACCACAATTACGCCCTGCCTCATAATCCACCACAATTACGCCCTGCCTCATAATCCACCACAATTACGCCCTGCCTCATAATCCACCACAATTACGCCCTGCCTCATAATCCACCACAATTACGCCCTGCCTCATAATCCACCACAATTACGCCCTGCCTCATAATCCACCACAATTACGCCCTGCCTCATAATCCACCACAATTACGCCCTGCCTCATAATCCACCACAATTACGCCCTGCCTCATAATCCACCACAATTACGCCCTGCCTCATAATCCACCACAATTACGCCCTGCCTCATAATCCACCACAATTACGCCCTGCCTCATAATCCACCACAATTACGCCCTGCCTCATAATCCACCACAATTACGCCCTGCCTCATAATCCACCACAATTACGCCCTGCCTCATAATCCACCACAATTACGCCCTGCCTCATAATCCACCACAATTACGCCCTGCCTCATAATCCACCACAATTACGCCCTGCCTCATAATCCACCACAATTACGCCCTGCCTCATAATCCACCACAATTACGCCCTGCCTCATAATCCACCACAATTACGCCCTGCCTCATAATCCACCACAATTACGCCCTGCCTCATAATCCACCACAATTACGCCCTGCCTCATAATCCACCACAATTACGCCCTGCCTCATAATCCACCACAATTACGCCCTGCCTCATAATCCACCACAATTACGCCCTGCCTCATAATCCACCACAATTACGCCCTGCCTCATAATCCACCACAATTACGCCCTGCCTCATAATCCACCACAATTACGCCCTGCCTCATAATCCACCACAATTACGCCCTGCCTCATAATCCACCACAATTACGCCCTGCCTCATAATCCACCACAATTACGCCCTGCCTCATAATCCACCACAATTACGCCCTGCCTCATAATCCACCACAATTACGCCCTGCCTCATAATCCACCACAATTACGCCCTGCCTCATAATCCACCACAATTACGCCCTGCCTCATAATCCACCACAATTACGCCCTGCCTCATAATCCACCACAATTACGCCCTGCCTCATAATCCACCACAATTACGCCCTGCCTCATAATCCACCACAATTACGCCCCGCCTCATAATCCACCACAATTACGCCCTGCCTCATAATCCACCACAATTACGCCCTGCCTCATAATCCACCACAATTACGCCCTGCCTCATAATCCACCACAATTACGCCCTGCCTCATAATCCACCACAATTACGCCCTGCCTCATAATCCACCACAATTACGCCCTGCCTCATAATCCACCACAATTACGCCCTGCCTCATAATCCACCACAATTACGCCCTGCCTCATAATCCACCACAATTACGCCCTGCCTCATAATCCACCACAATTACGCCCTGCCTCATAATCCACCACAATTACGCCCTGCCTCATAATCCACCACAATTACGCCCTGCCTCATAATCCACCACAATTACGCCCTGCCTCATAATCCACCACAATTACGCCCTGCCTCATAATCCACCACAATTACGCCCTGCCTCATAATCCACCACAATTACGCCCTGCCTCATAATCCACCACAATTACGCCCTGCCTCATAATCCACCACAATTACGCCCTGCCTCATAATCCACCACAATTACGCCCTGCCTCATAATCCACCACAATTACGCCCTGCCTCATAATCCACCACAATTACACCCTGCCTCATAATCCACCACAATTACGCCCTGCCTCATAATCCACCACAATTACGCCCTGCCTCATAATCCACCACAATTACGCCCTGCCTCATAATCCACCACAATTACGCCCTGCCTCATAATCCACCACAATTACGCCCTGCCTCATAATCCACCACAATTACGCCCTGCCTCATAATCCACCACAATTACACCCTGCCTCATAATCCACCACAATTACGCCCTGCCTCATAATCCACCACAATTACGCCCTGCCTCATAATCCACCACAATTACGCCCTGCCTCATAATCCACCACAATTACGCCCTGCCTCATAATCCACCACAATTACGCCCTGCCTCATAATCCACCACAATTACGCCCTGCCTCATAAGGCGAGACCAAAAAATAGAGATTCCCGGGCCCTCCCGCACCAAAATCGAGCCAAAGCCAATTTTTTTTCTTGAACAGTTCATACATGTACAGTACTGATCGTGTGAGTAGATCTGTGATGTGGAGTCACACAAACCCGAGCTTGTAGTTGTACGACTCCCTGATGTACAGATCAGGGCCATCGTTGGCCGAAATATAGAAAAATTGAACGGGTAAATTGCGTACCTGTTGTGTGTAAAAAAATTGAATAGAAATTACCGGAAAATGCTGTAAAAAAAAGTTCAACATGGCATGCACACATACATGTATAGTCATGTACATACATGGGAAAAAATAAAAAATAAAATTCGCCCGCCCACACCAATTTCACATGGGTCCTGCCCGGGAATCTCGATTTTATTTTGGTCTCGCCTAATCCACCACAATTACGCCCCGCCTCATAATCCACCACAATTACGCCCTGCCTCATAATCCACCACAATTACGCCCTGCCTCATAATCCACCACAATTACGCCCTGCCTCATAATCCACCACAATTACGCCCTGCCTCATAATCCACCACAATTACGCCTTGCCTCATAATCCACCACAATTACGCCCTGCTTCATAATCCACCACAATTACGCCCTGCCTCATAATCCACCACAATTACGCCCTGCCTCATATTCTAATGCTCGCAACCCCAAATCGTGTCCAATACAGGCTATACTTTCGGCACACTCGCACTTTGGTATTTTGCCAACTGCAAGGACCGACTGCTGACTGGGTTCCTATCTAGAATTCTCGCCATTATTTCAATGGCCTCCCATCAACGTTCGCGATATTCAAATCACCAGTTTTGTTTTACCCTTTCACTGCCAGCTGACTGCTCAAGTGACAAGGCACTCAGTGCCAGGCTGTCAGCTGAGCTGTGCACTCCCCAGTGCCAGGCGCTTTTTACCTCCAGTTCAAAAAATCGAAAGGCCAACTTTTCCTGGATTTTTTGGTACTTTCTGTACGGAATATCGCTTTCTAAAGTATACATCGTAGGTAGACAACTGATAAAGGAAGCCATTGCCCTCGAAAAAATCTCAAAATCTGAAGTACAAGCGCGCTGCGCGTTCGAGTGCCAGCCACTGTGCAACAAGTCATGTCATGTCATGCGGAAGTGTGCCGCGCGCTGCATGCACTGCATACAGTCCATGTACACCATCAAGAGTACATGAAAACCAGAGTGTGCAGCTCGGATGGGTTGCTGTCACGGCGGAATTCCGTGATTACATCATTTTAGTGATGTAGTGCGTACAAGCAGGATTCAAGCAGGTCTCTTTCTGCACAACTGCAGCTCAGTTGTACGCACTACGCCATTTCCCGCCTCAGATCTGCGCCAAATATGATGTAATCACGGAATTCCGCCGTGACAGACACCCATAGCAGAAAAGGCCCCAAACTGCACACTCTGGTTTTCATGTACTCTTGACACCATGTATACACCATGTAACACCATGTATACACCATGTATACACCATGTATACACCATGTAACACCATGTATACACCATGTATACACCATGTATACACCATGTATACACCATGTATACACCATATATACACCATGTATACACCATGTATACACCATGTATACACGGCATGTGCACAGCCCGGCCAGTTGCCAAGTAAAGTAACAGTTGTTGTTTTGGAGAGAGAAGCAGATCCTGTTTTTCGTTCGGTGGGATTGAAAGATCTGCCAGTGGACCGAAGAGCTACAATACTTGAAGCAGAAGAAAGTGCTTGCTGAACTTCCCTGTCTTCGTGGCAACAGGACTTCAGTTTGCGAGAGACTTCGTCCTGTCGCTGCGGACTCAATTCGTGTTGCTTGCAGAAAACTTGCGGAACGATCGTGAGTCGTTTCGTGAAGCGGATCGTGTCGCTGAACAGCCGCGGATTATTCTGCCGACATGGCGATCCTTTGTTCTCTTAATTATCAGCAGTCCAAACACATCTTTTCAACTTCGGAGAATGAAGCGCTTCCCTGTTCCGTTGGCAAGCGCTTCGTTCGCGGGTGTAATGTACTTCCGCATCAGCTTGCAGTAGATCGTGAGGTATTGAGGTAGGTGTCGTTGTGGAAAGAATAATAATTATTATACAGGTCTACTCTCCATAAAACGTAATCTCAGGGACCACCACAAATTATGTTATATCGAGAGTTATGATATGTAGAAAACCGCGTGTTTTAAATATAAGATGTACTTCAAAATGAAGGGTATTACAAGGCGGGTTCAACCGTACAAACATATACACACTGTACCACCATCGACATCAGATACCGTCAATGCCGCAGAATATATGCACAATACAACTAAACTGGCTAGCTGCGGCTACAGCTTGATTGTACGGCTCATGAATGTACGTTGTATCGAGAGTGCGCACGTCGGGGACCGAGCCGTAGGGTGCGTTATGCCGACGTTTACGTTATGTAGGACTAAACTGGCCTGAACTGCCTAGCTACAGCTACCGCTTGATCGTACCGTGCACGTGAATGTATGTTGTATCGAGAGTGCACACGTTGGGGACCGCGCCGTAGCGTGTGTTATGTCGAGGTTTATGTTATGTAGGATTACGTTGTGTAGAACAAATTTGTATGGGAGTGATGCTGTTTCGGCGCGGGCTTTGATTTGTTTACCTACTAGCGAGGTTTATGTACAAGTGAGAGTTGTTATATCGAGAGAAGACCTGTAGTTGTGTTGTAGCTGACATACCTGTAGTGCCCCTTGACCGTGTTGGTCGCCATTGTAACATTTTAGTTCTTAGGAACATTTAATTCTGGACCCGGCGAGCGCCGCCAGCGCTGTTTCCGTCAAGTTTTGTAGCTGCATCCAAAATGCGTTCGTGAGGAATCCGTCGTTTGGTTGTCTCTACCCGTGACTCCAACTGCCTATCGCAATGGATAGCCGCCTGGAGTCTTGGGTAATAGCTAGGCATCAAGTCTGAACCAAATTCCATGCTCCTTGCAATGAAAGTTGACGGGAAAGAGAAAAATACTCACACCGACTCAGCGAGGTGGAAGTGCGTGGGAACCAATTTCTTGAGCGCCGCTCCGCTAAAAATCGGATGCGCATTTTCAACGACGCTGGTTTGATTTTTTTCAAATGGCAACCCCTACTCCTGGCGGCGTATTTCAATGGATACGGGCCTCTTCCAGGGCCCAGCGACCCTCTATGGCAGCTAAACATCTCCAATACCCCAAAATAGTGGCCCAAACTGGGCGAAGTCGGCCTGTCGACTGCAGTCGACAGCGGCACTGGGAACTGCATTCTTGCTGGTCGACTGCAGTCGACAGCGGCACTCAGAGTGCATGAATGGGCTGTCGACTGCAGTCGACAGCGGCAGTGAAAGGGTTAAGCAAAAGATATCAGCCCTGCTGCTGAATTCAATCTGCTCGTGCACGAGCCACGCTCACCCGTACATCTAATTATTTGATCACTGCTAACGATGAAATTTCCACATCATACTAATCAAGCATTCCAAACCCTCCATGTGATGTAGATCTCACTATCAGTATCACTATCACTATCAGTATCACTATCACTATCACTATCAGTATCACTATCAGTATCTCTTACTGGCCACGGGCCATCATGAGAATAAAGATTAGAAACTTACTTGACAAAGACAGTGCAAGCCACATTAGCAGTAGACTCCTGATCAGCAGCCGTTGCGCTGGCTCCACTGCTAGATGAATGATGTGCTGTGCGATAGCGAGTAATAACCGGATGGTGTCCATCAGTGTGACACATGTTATGTAGAGCTAGCATCAACATGACTGGTTGCACTACATCACTAAGATCATACCCACTGCAATAGCACAAGAACTGAGGCCAGGCTGTACACACACACAAACACACACACCAATGCACGCACACCAATGCACGCACACCCATGTACACACATACACACACAAACACACACCAATGCACGCACACCCATGTACACACACACACACACCCATGCATGCACGTACACGTACACACACGTACACAAACACACACACACACAAACACACACACACACAGTTACATACACACACACAGTTACATACATAAATGCACACTCTGATACACGTAAACACATCGTGATCTTCAATGACCCATTTCCTGGGCAGACGACAGGCTACTAAAGCGGGATTCACATAATTTTTGCGATGTGCAGTGCAATGCAAACTTCGGAAATACTAATCTGAGCAAAAGTCAGCAATGTGATTTTGCCTAGCTGATGTGCCTCAAAGCCACCGTAATGTGATTTGCGCCTCAAACCTACATACAAATCGTAAGCTCAATACATGCAGGTCAGTACGCCACCATGCCATTCACGTGGCCATGGTGTAACTTTTACATATACAGTCAACTTGGCTTATAACGACATTCGGCGGGGCATCAAAAAAGTGTCCTTATTCGCGAAGTGTCGTTATACCCGAAGTCTCATTATATGTAGTACAGTTGGATGAAACTTTGCTCTGGGCATGGAAATTCTGTTGTTATTCGCGAATTGCCGTTATATCCGCAGTCGTTATTAGCCAAGTTGACTGTACACAAGACACACTGCAACCTTTTGTACAACTTTACTGCAAAGAAGGTCAAAATCGTACATCACATGGCACACCCATACTTGCCAGCCACACCGGCACCCATACTTGCCAACCACACCGGCACCCATACTTGCCAACCACACCGGCACCCATACTTGCCAACCACACTGGCACCCATACTTGCCAGCCACACCGGCACCCATACTTGCCAGCCACACCGGCACCCATACTTGCCAGCCACACCGGCACCCATACTTGCCAGCCACACCGGCACCCATACTTGCCAACCACACCGGCACCCATACTTGCCAACCACACCGGCACCCATACTTGCCAGCCACACCGGCACCCATACTTGCCAACCACACCGGCACCCATACTTGCCAACCACACCGGCACCCATACTTGCCAACCACACCGGCACCCATACTTGCCAGCCACACCGGCACCCATACTTGCCAGCCACACCGGCACCCATACTTGCCAACCACACCGGCACCCATACTTGCCAACCACACCGGCACCCATACTTGCCAACCACACCGGCACCCATACTTGCCAACCACACCGGCACCCATACTTGCCAACCACACCGGCACCCATACTTGCCAACCACACCGGTTTTCCCGGTATGCTACCCGAAAACTAGGGTACCCATATTATGCCCAATATATGTACAGTTTAACTCGGATACTGAGCCAATAAATATAATTAAAAATTAAAATAGAAGAAATCACATGGAAACAAGTTATGAAGCAACTATTCACGACTGTAACAAGATAATAAGCAGTCAGAAAGTGCGATAACTGGAGGTGTGTGAGAGCTAGGTCTCAGGTCGTTGAATGTCTCAGTAACAAGTGGGTTTTGTGCCCTGTTATAGCACTTTCTGACTGTGCCACACTACGTAAAGTTGAGCAACTTTACGTTAGTGGGCGGGAAAACTCATGAATTCGCGAGTTTGCACTCCACTTACGGAAAGTTGTCTACGGAGAGTACGTAGATAGGGCTCTGATAACGTAGCTGGTCCGTAAGTGGATTGGGGTACAAATTTATGACTCTCTCCCCAGGTCTATCTGGTCGTACACTGCCGCGTTCTGAGTTACCAAGGGCAGCTACGTGATTTGACAACTCCATATGGCGGAACCCAGATGCGCATGCAGTTTACGTAAGACTTTCCGTAGATCGACTACGTTTTTTACTAACGCAATTACGTTATGCGGAACCTCTCTAGGAGACTGTACTAGTATTGGAGAAGTGTACTTTTATTGATTCTTTAAGGATTGATTGCCCGGTTTGAGTGGCAAACAACCCGTGATAATGATACTGTAAGGCTGTAAATATATCCAACCATGGTAAGAATCAGTGTACAAAGACACAACGATGATAAACGGGTAAGAAAAACGAAGTAAGGTGGACCAGTAATGCCCATCACATCATTCCCGCATGTATCATTATTAGAGACGTGTCGTTTTATGTTTTTGATCCACACTCGACATGTACTACAATCCACTACGTACTAGTATTGGAGACGTCCTAGTATTGGAGACGTACTAGTATTGGAGACGTGTACTGGTATTGGAGACGCGTACGTTTAATGGGGAAAATACGGTAACTACTGGCATACCGGGGATTTTTGACATTGATCGAAAAACTAC